TTGAACATGATTGAACTGAACCTGAACCTGAACTTGACCAAAGTTCGGTTTCAGTTCGGTTCATAGGAACACTAATAACAGATGTGAGCATCATTCTAAACTCGAATCTTTTATTGTGGTAAAATTTGATTTTGAGGTAATGCTCATGAACATCCTATAATTTAAAAAATATTAGCAAATAAGTAAAAATGCGACCAAACCAATTTTTTTATATAGAAAAACTGGGTTTCTATATAAAAAAATTGTTCTGGTCATATCTCGAGTTGAAATTTTAAATTCATTTTTCTTCAGCTTTTACTCTATTATAATTATAGGGAAAAAAAAGATAAAGTAGTTTTAGCTGACAATTTGCACAATGATTAAAGAAAATTGATATACAACTATTATTATAACAATCCCAACCTTATCCAAAAAAAGCTTGAAGAGTGGGCAAAAAATGAGTTTAATTTGTTGAAAGCCCCAGCTCAAAGTACAATTTTGAATATTTTGAAAAGGAAAAATGAATTTGATTCAATGTCCACAAGTAATTTTGAAGTTAAAAGGTGTCATGTTGTTTTGTTCTCTGAATTAGATACTGCATTGGCAAATTGGGTTCTACAATGTGAAGATTGAGCTATATATCTAAATGGAGATATGATTAAAGCCAAGAGTAAAAAATTAGCAGATTTAATGAAAATTCTAGAAGACAGCCAGCAAGAGTTTTTGAATAGATGATTACAAGCTTTTTAAGAAGAACACAATTTTCATCACTTTAGACTTTATGGTAAGAGCAGTTTTGCTAACCTTGAAGCTATTGAACTAAACCCTCTTAATATTATATGCTCTAAGTGATATTTATAATATGGACAAGACTGGATTGTTTTATTCTATGGTTCCTAATCATATTATTGCATCTCGTCAAATTGAAGGAGCAAAAAAAGATTGTATTCAACTTACAATTGCACTTACATCTAATACTGATAGCACACACAAGCTTCAACCCTTCATTATTGGTCATGCCAAAAAACCTAGATGTTTTAAAAAAAAAACTAGCGAACAACTTGGGTTTTATTATTATAACAATCTAAAAGACTGGATGACTACTATGTTTTTTTAGGTAATAATACAAATTGAGAAGTGGATCTGCGAATATCTATGTATAAAAATGAAAATTTAATTAAAAATGAATAAATACAAGCAATAATTATTGAAGAATTAGGCCATACAAACTTGAATAAGGTCTTTAGTCTTTATTTTGTTTCTTAATTAATCTTAATCTAAGCATATGTAAGTAGTGATTTTCATAGTTCCTTTATTAAATCCATTTCGGCTTATAATCAGAACTAATCTAACAAATTTGCTTACCAAAGGAAATTATTTTAGTTTTTTTTTGTTTTATCTAATCAGTTCTAATAGTATAAAATTTTTAAAAGTGTTTAGCAACTTGGCTTTTGGCTTACCCAAATAAGAAAAATATTTAAAATTTTTTTTAAATTTTGTAAAATTTATCTGGCCATTATGAGAACTGATTTATTAAGTTTGTATAACCTTATCTATTAATTTTTTTTTTTTTAAAAAAAAAAAAAGCTTTATAACCAAAAAATAAATCACAAAGTTTGTTTAAATCACCTAACAAACTCTATTTTTCATAATCATTATATATACAGTACTAATTCAATGAAGTCAACAGAATCGAAATTCAAAAAAATAATTTATAATAATTTAATATTAACTTGGTTCACAATTTTCAGGAATGGATTAAAATTTTTGACAAAGAAATAAGAAATTCAAATTGTCATATTTTACTCATTCTAGATAGTGCCTCTTTACACTTTACTAATGCTGTTACTCTAACTAATATAGAAGTATTTAAGTTATCTTCATATGTAACATCAAAGATTCAACCCATGGATGCTGGAATTATTGTATCATTTAAGATTCATTATCATCACATGCAACTTCAACATGCACTTGATCATGATAAAGCTAGAAAATATGATATATATAAAATTAATCAATTGCAGGCTATAAGATGGATAAAGGTTAGTATTGGTATTTTAATTAAAAATTGCAGCCATACAGTATCATCACAGAATAATGCCTTGGGGTATTATTTAGAAGCACATTGCTTGAAGAGAGCTAATAATTAATTTAGCCAAAGCTTTTAATACAAAAAATTCTTATTTGTATTAAATTAATTATTAATTCTCTTCAAGCAATATGTCTTGAAATAATAATCTAGGGTATTATTTCATGATAATATGGTATGTTTATATATTTTTTTAATTAGGCTAAATATTAATACTAGTTAAAGTTGCTTGGAGTGAAGTATTTGCTAGTATGATCAAAAATTGCTAGTTCTACACGAAAACTATATCTCTATGTGATGAAAATGGTGTATTAGTTGTCCTACCTCTCCTACTCCCTCTTATTGAAAATGTGAAAGAAAGCTTATTTGTCGATCCAGATGATGAATTAGCCACCAAGGAACTCTAGCAAACAATAAATGCATTGCATATTCGTAATCTAATACCAATTAAAAATTTGTTAAATCTTGAGAAGGAAAACACAGAGATATACCAACAATTTAGTGATGATGACTTTGTTCAAGCTGCTACAGAAATAGAACATGTAAAGAATGAAGTTATCATACAACTCTTAACTGAAAAAGAACAGTTGGATATATTGCACAATGCTTTGCAAATTGTTGATAAGAAAATTGATGATAGTAGGATTACAATGAAAGCTTTGCACAAGCTTCAATTACATATTTATGGGAAATCCAAAAGGAAGAGGCTGAAAATCAAGTTCAATCTACACTGAATCAATTCTTTCAAAGGATTGAATAATAAATAACATCACATATTAATGAATCGCTTTGAAAATTTTTAATTACAAACAGGTGAATTTCTTCACAATTAAATAGAAAAAAAATTATAACCACTGACTTCATAATAATACTATGATAGGCAAAAATATCATAAATAAATAAAAAATGATTAGTTATGTATTAGTTATTAAGTGCTGAATATATTTTGGCTAATAAAATTTGTTTTCAATACCTCATTTTAAGATCACTTGTGTACTATAAATTGTCATATACAACACAGCACCTAGGTCTAATATAGTTCATAGATCTTAAAGCTTTCAATAAAAATTGTTAAGTTTATTGAAATCATAAAAGATTTGAAACACATACATGAATTTAGCATGCAAAGAAGAAGTTTGTGCATATGTATAAATGTATGTACATAGTACAACTATTATGTTAGTTATATAATATTTTTAATTTTTATATGATTTGATTTAATACATTATACATAATACTATTTAATAAATCAGAAACATAGATATAAAAGCTATTGGTTATTAGATATTGCAAGTTATTAGTTATTAATTATGGAACAGGCATTGTGGCCTGATTTTTAACTAATTATAGTAAGTTATCAGTTTTGACAGAATTGGTTTGGGGAGAGTTGACTATATTTGATTTATATAAAATAATAAGGTATCGATAATAACATTACTGTATCAACACAACTGATTTTCAGAGAATCTATTTAGCCACTATAACTACTAGCCAAAAATTTGTATTAATGATAGTAATTATTATTTTATCAGCTCAATATACCAGGATTTTAAAAACAATATAAAATTTTGACCAGGTTATCAAAAATTTGCTATTTGAATAACATATTTAGTCAACATAGATATGTAATAAAATTATAAGACATGCAGACCAATTTTAACTAGATTTAGGATTTTACATCTTTTGTTTTAGTATTAGATTTGGTGAATGAATATATTTTATAAAATATAACTTAGGTATTATATTATTTTAGATAAAGTGAAAATTACTGTTTCCAAAAAGTCAAAAGACCTTTATTTATAATTAATTTACTATATTTTTACATGCCAGAATGGGCCTTATAACTGAAATTACACTAATTGCTATAATTACTACTATTTGCTATATCTCTTCTTTCTCTCTATTCACTGAAACTGATAGGAGATCTGGCTAGTGTTACTCTTGCTAATATACCCTTGATGTTTTTTGAGTCACAAATTAATTTTAGATTACAGAAGTGCTGTGCAAATGCCAGATCTGCCATTTCTGCTATATTAGCCACTTATAGTATAAAAGGCATATAATAGAGTAGTGCTTGGCAAAATCAAACAAAAACTTGATTATCGAGTTTTTGAATCTATCGATTTATAGTATTATGCTTTAATTATAAAATCCATATTTACTTTAATCTGACTTTAAACTTTATGTTAGTTACTATGAAGTCTAAAGTAAGATCAGATTACTATTAGATTTATATATAAACTATAAATAAAAATTTGTATTTAATGCTCAATATTGTAAATTGATAAATTCAAAAACTCAATAATCAAGTTTTTGTTTGATTTTGCTGAGCACTATAATGGAGAAATAGTATATATAAAAGTAATAGCATAAATGATAAATTGAATATTTATGGCATAAATATCATATATTTTTATTATATATACAGATAATATTTACTCTACTTTGTAAATATATTTGTTATGATAGTTTATTAATATAAATAAAGGACACTGCAATTGATTCTATAACATACATCACACACCCTTTCAAATGACCCAAATTACTATATACTTAAACCCTCTTACTTGTATAGTGCAGGACAGCAAGAGACATCTAATGTCTATTAATAAAGCTTTAAAGTGGTATAACTTTTTTAAAACAAGCTAAATCAAATCTTTGATTATCTTTTTTCAACAATCACTTGTCCTAAATTTTCTACCCAAAAAAAAATAAAAATTTTGTTAGAGATAATGTTGCTTTGTATTCTAACAAGGTAGTTTTTGTAGAGATCAATGTCTTTCCTACTCTCTCAACTCCTTTATATATTTGGCATGCAAGCCAAAAGTGTTTTGGTACAAAATAACTGGCAGAAGATGCCCTTGTACAGAAAATTTTAGTGGAGACGGTGTCCTGAAGAGGAGGATTTTCATCGATGAAGTCTTTTAAGAGTCAAACAGAAAAGACAAAGAGAACAACAAAAGTTTTTATTTTTCAATACACTCCTTACAAGTTTTGCAAGTGGTTGTTTTTTACTATTAAAATTACCTTCTATGACTTTTGCCATTCTTAAAATTTTTTGTTGAATAAAAAGTAGGAATTTGGCTTACTCCTCCAAAAGATTGATATTGTTTATATTCCAAATTTGGAAAGCTGAGTAGATTACAACCATGTATTCAATGGATATGGTGCTACTAATTTGAACAGGTTCCAAGTTCTAATAGCGGCAGCAAGTGGCTTGAGACATGAGTCTATGGATGGCGGCAGCACCTAGCTTGAAATATGGATTAGGTTAAAATCAAATATTCTGGAGTTAGTCATATAGTTGGAAAGAAACAATAATGTTAAGGTGAAGCAGATGTCCCATAGAATAGGTGGGCAAACTTTGCAACTCTGCTAAATATTTATTAATGATTACTAATTAGTAGCAGAGTTTATTTTTTATATTCTATAGAATATCCGGTGAAGCTTTACAGTAGAGATATACAAATGTTGTATTTGTTATATAATTTTTATACTTGCCTAGCACGGGTTATAATAGTGCACTTTTCTTTTTCTTTTTTTTGTTTATTTTTGTGCTATTTCTTAATAGAGATAGCTGCTATTTCTTACAGAAGATAGCTTTTTCTTGTTCAGCCTATCAGGGCTTATCTCTTTGTTTTTTCTTTTCTGTTTTCCTATTTTTATTTCTTATTATTTTTTCTTTCTTGTTTTGTTCTTTTTTTGTATATGTATGTTCTAGTATTGAGATACGGAATATTATTTTCTTTTGCTTTTGGTAAAGAAAGTAAGAATGAAGAGATAGGCTCTTGGCAGGCTGACAAGGTCTTCTAACTTACATGTAGGTTGGTGCGACATATCACTTTTAGGCATACTAGATACAGCCGGGTGATATCAGGCTTGCAATTTTCATACTATCATTATTTATTCTGTTCAAGTTTGTTTAATAAAGTATTGTATTTGAGCTTTGGCAAGACTGTCAAAGAGCTAAAAAAAAAACAAGCTAAATTAAAAAACCCTCTAACAAATTGATAAATTTTTAAATAAACTACAATTTTGTCAGAGAATTTTTTTTATTCTTTGTTTTAAAAAGTTATAAAAGATTAAAGTTTATAAGAGTTCAAAAAATTGGCATTTAATATAAAAAAAATATATATAGGTTTTTAACCAATCAAAATTAATTGCTTAAAAATTAGCCAATTAGAATTAATTATATAAGCACCAAAAATTGGTGCCTATATGTATAGATTGGATGTCTCTTGCTATCTTGCACTATATAAACACCAATAACTATAATAAACTATATTGTGTCTTTGTGCTCATATAACTCCTGTTATTAGTTGATCTGTTAGTTATGATTTCAAGGAGGTACTTACAGATTAACACCAGTAGCAAAACATTTATTTTTAATACTTTTTGATACTAATTGACATGCAGATCCTGGTAAAAAATAAAATTTTAAAAACTTTGAGCGAAGATATAATGACATCCACCTAGTTGAATCTAATAAAACTTAAAATTTGAATTCTATAGATTCATAGAATTCAAATAAAAAAAATTTTATTAAATTTAGCCATGTGGTTGTCGAGATATCTTTGCTCAAAATTAGAGACAAATCAAAAAGCCTATCAAAATAGAAGCTATCCCAAATTACTTTCTAACTTTGAGCAAAGATATCTCGATAACTATCTGACCAAATTTAATAGATATTTTTTTACTGAATCCTATGAATTCATAGAATTCAGATAAAAAAATTTTGATCAAATTTAGTCAAGTAGCTACCAAGATATTTTTGCTCAAAATTAGAGAAAAATCAAACCATTTAAATAGAAACTATACCAAATTTTCTTTTTAACTTTGAATAAAGATATTTCGATAAGAGGGCTAACAAATATTAGCTCATTATACCCCTCTCTGGGATTTTTACTTAATCCCACTTAGAGTCAGTCATTTGACACAGTAAAACTTACAAAAAATGTATAATTAGATTTTTGACAGTTAATAATATAAACTGTCAAAAATCTAATTATATATTTTTTGTAAGTTTTACTATGTCAAATAACTAACTCTGAGTGGAATTAAGTAAAAATTCTAGGGGGTATAATAAGCTAATATTTGTCAGCTCTCTAACTATTTGACCAAATTCAGTAAAACTTTTTTATTTGAATTCTATATATTTATAAAATTCAAATAAAAAACTTCCATTATATTTAATCAAGTATTTGTCAAGATATAAGGTCTTTGCTTTAAAAATGATCTTATAATACATAATACTATAAAGTCATTTTCAAGGCAAAGATCCTATATATTCATTTAAAAAAAATCAAAATATATATCAAAATAGAATCTATGCCAAATTTTCTTACTAACTTTGAGCAAAAATAGCTCAATACTCATTTAATTAAATGCAATGAAATCTTTTTTATTTAAATTTTATAAATGCATAGAATTGAAAAAAAAAACTTTATTGAATTTGGACAAACCATTATCGAGATATCTTCACTCAAAGTTAGAGTTAAAATTTTTATTTTGATAAGTATTTTATTTTTCTCTAATTTTGAACGAAAATACCTCAATAGCCACTTAACTAAATTTAATCAAAATTTTTTATTTGAATTCTATGAATCTATAAGATTCAGATAAAAAAATATTTATTGAATTTAGTCAGATAATTATTGAGATATTTTTGCTCAAATTTAGAGAGTAATTTGGTGCAGCTTCTATTTTGATAGGCATTTTGATTTGTCTTTAATTTTGAGTAAAAATATCACAACAACTACATGGCTAAATTCAATGAATTTTTTTATTTTTTTTAAGTAAGGTCTTTTCCTCAGTTCCTTTATTATTTATTATGTAGAGATTACAATATAAGTTTATATAAATTTTTAGAGAAGTGGGGATGGAGCTACTTTACTCTAGACCTTAACTTTAGCTAGACAGATCAAAGACCTCTAGACTATAAAATAAGGATATCATAAGAGAAAGTGTTAAAACTAATATATTTATTTATCTAAGAGTATAGTTTACTTCTCATTGAATAGTCTGGAGATGCTGAGTATGATAGTAATGTTATTGGGTTATTTCTTGATGTTTGTGCTGAGTTATTGTTTATCACCATTATTTTGCTTGGAATCCAGATCTTTTTATATATTTCTTTTAAGATATTATGGTGCAATTCAGAAGCTAGACTTAAAGCTATCTTTTTATTGCGAGTAGGTATAACTGTATTTTCTATGATAATGCCGATAGGAGTCTGATTCTGAATATAAGTTTGAATAAAATTTTGAATAAAATTATCAGTGTGGATAAGGTGTAAGTTGTGCTTGGAGGTGAATTGTGTTAGTGTGTTGTTAATAAGTATATTAAGAGAGATACTATTAGTGCTACAAGTTAGCCAATGTGTATCAGTTTCGATCTTGTTACTGCAACATTTACAGTAGGGTGACGTGTGGGTGTTTGGATAATATTTAAATAGATTAAGTTAATTAGAAAGTTCATTCATCAGCATCTTGAATTTGAAGTTTTTCAGTTGTGATATTTTTAGATCAGTATTGTATTGACATAGTTTGTCGTCAAATCTTAGGTACTAGAAGATCAGTTGCTATTTTGGATCAGGGTAAGTTGAAGCCAATATTGGATGTAGTTTTGCATATATCAAGTATTGATATTGATTGCTGTGTATAGGTGTTTGATAGTAGTTTTTATATTTTCAGATATTAGATTGTTTTTGAATTTTAAAAGGTAAGTATTGTTAATCAGTGGTGATGAGTCAATTTGTATTTTTTGGATTGGGTCCTGGATTGTATTATGCCAAGCTATTGGGTATAGTTTGTGTTAATTGAAAGGTTTTTTGCATTATAGTATAGCCAATGTTATTATTTTTTTATATATAAAAAAGTGCTGCTAATGACTTATTAGTGATTGTTGGTATAAGTTTTAGTATTGCTTTTGAGT